GTGTGTGTGTGTGTGTGTGTGTGTGTGTGTGTGTGTAAAGGAAGACACTGATTGTTGTGTGACGTGTTGAGCAACCTGGTTGGATAGAAAGTACATAAGTATGGATTATTCACCATTCAGATAAGACCAGTGGAAGATAAAGGGCTGAAATGGTTTGTCTTTGATATTGATCGTGTTTTGACGAACTTGCCCAGTGTTGACCTGGTCTGACACCGAGACGTGACATTTCTGACCACAACTGTTCTGCAATCATCCACCACAGGTCAGCCTACAGTGAGTTTTAGAAGCTGGTGTAGTCGGAGAGGAAGTGTTCAGAGATGAAAACAAAACAGATAAGGCAGGGGGTTAAAAAGAAAATTTAATACAACTGGCCTTTTTGGGATATAAAACGTATTTTTACTAAATAAATCCTTTTAAAGTTAAAGGAGTGAGCGTCACACCAGCAGACGGCTCAATAAATGCTCATTCAGGTGAAGTAAAACTGCAGGGCGTGCTGTCTGCATCCTGACGCACATGGATTGAGATCATTGCTCTGCTCAGAAGAAGATGTGGTTTGACCGAGACCTTTGCAAGCATGGATGTGTAAACTGTATAGCAGCTTCATGTTGCAGGGATACAAACTCAGCAGAACGTGTCTGAAACACTTCCTTCCTCTAAAACACCATTTATCACTCAGAAACTCAGCTGAAGAATCATTAAACATTAAGCAATTATTTCCCTTTTCATGTGTGAGAACTGCATTCTACAAAAGATGACAACATTACTAAACCTATTTCAGCTGAATTTTGATTAAAAATATTTAATAGTATATTTATTATTAAATGTGACGTATGATGATTAGCTCTGGTGCCAGTGTTTCAGAGTTTCAATAATTAGCTGCGAACTCAACTGCGCCAATGTTTTCTGCTTTGGCTTTGGTGAAATCTGAATAAAATAATCACATCAGTTTGTAACGAGTGATGAGTAATTACTAACAGCAACATGTGAAAACTTTAGTTATTCTTGTCAAAAAGTCAGATAAAATTGAACTTATCACACCAAGTGGCTTTTTTTTAATTTCTTTGTTTAGGCATTGCAACAATCCCTCATTCTCTTTAAACACCAGAAGTGGGGAAAAAAACATTCACGGCCTCAAAGACAGAACAGCTCAATAACAAAAGCTGTTATAACAATAATAATATTACAACATATTTATACCAAAAAATGAAAACAACTATTTACTCTGTAACAGTTAAAGAATTATAAGGTTGTTTTTAAAAATGACAAACTTCAGTTGCCGTTCAGTCTGCTTTGTGTTTTATAAAGAAGGTCTAAGAATTCAACATAAAACAGAAAAACATTTTACATTACATCACACTTGTTGTTGTTTATTTATTTAAGAAGGGACAGTGCATAGTTTTGCATTTAATGCAGTAATTTTATATTAATCTGTCAGCCTTCGATAAGTTTTCATTAGAACAATGCACTCATAAAGGTTTAAATGTTCAGTTTAGGCTAACAGAGTTTTATGCTCCTGACCTTGATTATGATTGTTGTGCATGATGGTCATGATGGTTTACCATCAAGGGTTTTAAAAACTTTATCTTCTGCAGGTTAATTGTGGACAAGACCTTTGTAGAGAGTGCTCCAGTGAAAGGTCACTGAACTCTTTGTGGTCGTTTAAATGGACTTGTCTGACTCACCACAACCTATATATA